CATATCTGAGGACATTTGTAGGTTGTGGTTTCTCATTTATTCATAATTGGAATTCTTTCTTCAACGGGAGTCTGTATCGTCAACATTTGTTTCTTTTTTCCTTTTTTTTTTTCTTCTCCTGTTTGCAGACTCTCTTTCTTCCAGAAATAAAATGCAATGTATGTAAACCTTGGTTCAGCTGTATAAATATCAGCCTGGGTCCTTTTCCCCTCAGCAGACAATTATACACAGTATGGTCACAAGCATACACATGCTTGTCTGCTAACCTAAAACAGAGCCTTACTGAGCAGAAATGACCTGCAGACTTATACACTGTCATGAATCTACAGCAAAACTCGAATACGTTTCTTCATGTGAACCGAAACACAGAATTTATTGGGAGAAAAATATTTGAAATTTATGGAGGTTGGAGTAGGTCAGAAGCAGGCATTGACTGATGTACTTCTACACAGAGTTTAGAAACAGAAGAATGGAAATAGCGTGCTGTAGTGGTAGTTTTCTATTCCTTCTCTTCTAGTCCCTAACTAGAATTCACAATGCCCATCCAGGGATGATCCTGGGACTTGCAGAGTTTTCTGGTGGAAGTCCAGTTACTTGCTATGTGCACTGAGGTAAGGGTTTGTGTTTTATATAGCTGAGAGAAGGTAGCACAAAGACTTGATGGAGCCTACCTCAAGGACATGCAGCTACATGTGCCAGAACCCCAAATTCAAATTGCATCTCTGGAGCAATGCTCTTCTGGTCTAATTTAGCAAAATACATCTGCTTGAAGAAATCTGATGCTAACAACATTGATCAGTTAATTTGCCTCAGAAAAATTTTCATTTGTACCTAAGAACTTTTTCTTTGAAGTTTCACTGTCTCAGAAACTTCACTTTAGTCTTTCACAACTCTTAATGATGTAGATTGCATCCACAGAGCCAGTGGAATTGCTTCTGTGGGAGGCATTGGTGGGAGGAGGTCGAATTGCTTACTTAAACCATAACAGATTTTGCACAAAGTGTAGTGTTAAGTGGCAAAGTCAAATTCTTAAAATTAATGGGTGCCAATAGAAGGATTGCCTGTGTGATCTCTTTTGGGCATCCTTGGAAGAGCCTATTGTGCAGATCTGCAGAGGAATGTGCAGTGGAGTTATGACCTGGTGTTTATTGCACTTCTCTCTCTCTCTCTTTTTTTTTTTTTTTTTGTGATGCCACAATGGAAATCCTCATCATAACCACAGTTTTTTGCTGTCATTGCAAGTTTGCATTACAGTTCAGAAATAGTAGACTTCTTCTATTCCGTATGAGAGTCTGTCTCTCTTGCAAAGTGTCACACGCTCACCTGTAACAAAAGTCAGTCAAAAGAGAGAAGGCCAAATACTCTGAAAATTGAAAACCGAAGTGCTTTTATTGACTTCCCTAAATCAGTGCTCCTGCAGACTCTTTTCTCTGTGCTTCAATTCCCTACCTGATAAAAAGGAATAATGTCACATCTCCCCTGAATTGCTCTCAAAATCATTTATGTTTGTGAAGCATGTGAATAGCATAGCAATAAACAGGGCAGGAAAGCCCATGAGATTAATATTTCTGCCTTCATGTAGTAAATAAGTTGGAGACTGCAAGCTGTGTGAGAAAGGAACGGAAAAAAAAACAACCCACCACAAAACCAGAACAGCTGTTCTGTAATCAAATACTCCTAATTCTGCTCAATGAGTGTGTCTCATCCTGCAAGGAGGAAAGCATGCAGTCACATCAGGCATTTGTAAAGTTATCACAGTGTAAATTCATTGAGCAAACAAATGAAGGGTTGGATAAACACTATTAATCATGGAGTTTCCTTGCTTTTGAGTTCTTCACAATGGAAGCTTGATTTATCTCTGTTCAGTTCTATGTAGCTGAGATAAACAGATGACTGCTAACATGCTATTTGTACATATACCTGTGGGTAGGTTAGTGGAATTTTAAGAGCAGGAAAGATGAGATTTTTAATTTATCTGAAATATCAAATAATCTGCCAGTGTGGAATTACCTGTGGTAATTTGTCTGTGTTGAGGGCTTACAGTGCAACTGACAGAGCTGTTAGAAGCTATAGCTCGAAGCAGAACTGGCCTAGCCAGATCAGCTAGGGATTGGAATGTGTGAGACAGGCATTGCCAATTACTGGGGAGTCCATAATGCTAGTGTATCCTGCTTACCTGTAAGGCATCCTCGCCTCGGAGATACTGGAGAGAGTCAAAGGTGTTTGGTTCATTTGTTTTCTTCTTTATTACCTCGTTTCAGCATAGTTTTGTGTTATAACAAATACATAATTCTGTCCTGAATTTTCTTTTAGAGAGTATGTTTAATTAGACCAGAGTGCTAGCCACAGCAAACCCTTACAGGTGGTGTGTCATGCTGTATCTGCAGCCACTGTTCCACTTGGCAAAGCGTGTTGCCTTCTGACTTGAAATATAGTAAGAGAGGAAAAGTATAGTCTTCTATATGGTGTCACAGATACACAGGGAATGCCATTAGAAAAGTACTTTTGCCCAGTTTTCTCTGTTTCCTTTTCTCATGCTTTCCTGAATGTTGCATTCGTGGCTTCATCTGCACTGCCAGCCGAGCACACAAGCACTGGAGCAGGCACTTGCCTGCCAAGAGAAAAAGGTTTAGAAGTAGCTCTCTGCTGTGCTGTCAGCTTTCCTGGCTGTACTATTTAATTCAATGCATTGAGCCCCTACCTTGGGAAAAGAATAGCAGCTGATGTTGTGTTGTCCCACTATCTTCTTTTTTTTAAGTGAGGAACAACTTACTATAATTTTATGACCTTCTTTCCTGGTTGGTTACATAGTGTTTCGTTGCTTTTATCAAAAAGATTAACTTATTCTCAAGAGAAGTTCTTGAAAGATTTAACACAAAATACTTTGCATTTCTGTTTACAGTGTGAATGAAGATCTAGAGGTTTCTCTATGTATGTAGCCTGTGAGAAGGGGAAAAACAGATGCCAAAAGGCTGCTGCAGTTGCTGCTCACTGACTGTTAGTTTTCAAGGATTCTCTAGAAGTTGTTGCATGTATGAAATTTGCAATAGATACCAATAATCAGTTTTTGCAGGAGAACTACTGATGCAAGTTATACATGTTACTGATGCTGGTTGTTCTGGTCCTTGGGATAGGAAGAAGTAAGTAGTGAATGATACATAACACAAATCGTAGTTTTGTGTTTGTGTTTGGTCATAGTTGATGATGCGTGGAGGAAAAGTATCCAGATGGTAACTGAAATGTAAGTGGAAAAAAATGGGTTTATTGTTGCAAATGTATTGGAAATAAAACAATTTGTGTAACTAGTGATGTGACTGAAGAGCAGGGTCTTAGAAAGCTCTTAGGGTTTTTTTTTTGTTTTTTTTTTTTTATATGACAGGGTTAACAGGTGACTTTTTTATTTTCCTTACTGTTGATAACAGTAACACAAAACAAAGTTGTCTGATGTGCTGATGAGTATTGAAGGATGATATCTGGTCCATTTTGGCACAGCTTATTGATACAGTTGCAGAAAACTAAATGGGAACCGCTGTATGGACAGTAAATATTCACTAACTTGGGTATGTTCTTCGGTTTCTTTGTAAATGTGTTCACTAATTTTACAGTGGTAACTGTGAGCTGAAGTATGTATTACTGCAGCTTGTGTTTTGGAGGAAGTTCTGTTCTGTGATACTTGTGGTGGTGCATCTGTTTGACTGTGAGATTTGCGTGGCTTGCTTTGGGACCCAAGCAGTGTCCTGCATTGAAGACATTTGCTATCTTGAAACCAAGGAAGAACAACCAAAAAAGGTGTGATAGTGCACATCACTCCATTGCAACATTTATTCCACGTGTGCATTGCATTGCCATCATTTTTGAAGATGATACGCAGTTGTGGTCAGCGTTGTTCTTGCATCATAGCAGATGTAAATTTCCCTATGTATCCATCTGACGATTCTCCAAAAGAGCACTATGCTGCACAGAGAAACTGCTTTAATCTGTGGAAGGCAGTTTTTATCCAAAACTCTCACCTTCAGACTTCCCCTATTTATCTGGTCTGTACTGGATGTGAGGCAGGCATCACCAAGCAGCTTTTCAAGGAATGCTGGATGATTTTTACCAGATGTGCTCTGAAACCAGATGTAGAAGTCAGAGTGGTTATGGTGGTTATTCCAGTGCATATTTTTGCTTTGTTTATTCTGAACGTAATTCCAGAAGCTGAGTTGTGCAAACAAATCAGAGAAACGAAATGCCGCTTCACTGAGAGTATGCTGCTGATTGGTAGGAAAGTGAGGAAATGAAAGAAAAGGAATTCAGAGAAAATAATGTTTTCATAGTAAAAATAATAAGTATCCATTAGTAAACAGTAAGCATTATACCAATGAATAGCATTAATCAATACACTGCTGGTCTCCTTATTTTCTAAAAGATTTTATGGTGTATTTGCAGGAAATATATGCAACTGTGAAGTGAAAATGTAGTGTTCAAGTCTTCAGTGAGGAACTTTGCTAAAGCTTCTGTAATTAATAGCTGTACATGTGTATATGTAAACCATGGGCTTCTTTTTGAGCTGAAAAGTATTATCAAATACTCTGACATGCTATGCCTTTTAAATTTATTTTCTAAATCGTTAAACCATTCTTAACCTAAAATTATATTTAGAAGGCAAAGTTTTAATGAATGAGTAGCATTTGAGGTTCTGCCTTAGTTTCTTCCTTTTCCCCTGTATGTTAACTGTATGGTATTGACAGTGATATGGTCATACAAACTATAAAATGATGCTGAAATTCAAATAATTCATTTACCGTGTGCACGACATTGGAAACAAATTCAATTTGCATTAATTGAATATTCATATCAGTCAGGTTAAGATTATTAAAAAAATAATAGCCTAAAGGTACGTGTGTGTGTAAAAAATCTCCTTATTTTCCATTTGTTCTCTCCACTCCGAAGTAGGAGGATATTTATTATTGTAGTCATACAGATATTAATACACCTTTTTCCATCTGGCTTTCTTTTAGCACACTGATTTATGTCAATACATGGACAAACACCCTGGAGGTCTTCATCCAGAAAATGTGAAGGTAAGAGTCAAAAAGAGGGCACGATTGACAAGTACAGTAATGATAAATGAATGTATAAACTCCTGCTTCTGTTGAAGCTAATTACTAGCTAAAGGGAAAATGATTGGCATTTGAAGTGTATATATATATATACATGTACATACATATGCATACATATATATACATATATAGTAAAGATATTTGAACTTTCCTCTAAAAAGAACTTCTGTAATCTCTGAAATTGATTCCGAGACAGAAGGCATGAGTAAATAGTGTTACAGTGTTGGTAATCCCTCTCTTCCATTCAAGGGTTTGCTCTTAGGACAAGACAATATGGCCATAAAACTCCCAAGTAAAAATGTTGTAGGTTCCAGAGGGGTACCTCAGTGTAAGGTTATGGTGTCTGAGGGGACTGTAACAAGTTATTAGCTGATTGTACTGCTTTTTGTTTGAACATATAAAATCCTTTAGCCCCTTCATTCTGATTAGGCATTTTCGTAGCTGATCTCACTGTTTTTCATTTTTCTGTTCTAAGGTAGATATTAAGAATCATTGTGCAGCAAGGGGTGTTATTAGCAGGATTTACTGGATAAATAGATTGGGAGAGGCTTGATTCGGTTGCCTTCTGGGTATTAAGCCAAATTATTTTAGCATTAAAGGGAAGCCAGTCAGAGAGGCAAAGGGTGTCTCGTGCATGTAGATTGCACAGATAGTTGTTACACTTGTCTTGCACTTTGACATCATTCCTATTGTTGTTCTTTGGAAGTGCTTAAATCTTTTCTTTTCATGCTGAGACTTTTACTCGGTATCTTGTTTCACAAACACAGAAATTGAGAATTTCATGGAAAAATAAGTATATTTTTTCCTGGAAAATTCAAAAGACCTGTTTGGTTTAAGGAAACAAAATATTTCAGATGAGGCAATAAATTATTTTTTGCAATAGCTGATCACTGTTATACATCAGACCATTATATAACATGGATTAATTTTCTGACATCTTTTACTGAAAAGTGACATGTGCAGTATATTGAATTAAATGAAAATAACTGCTGTCAAAAAAGAAAATAAGTTCTTTCTTGTTCTACATATTTGGCCAAAATGAAATAAACAGATTTCCTTTTGAAAATAAGTGGTATGCATGCTGCAAGTTAGCATTCTTGTAACCTGTGACTGTCACTCAGACATTTTGGCAGGGTGGACAGGAAAGGTCTTTCAGAAGGCACTGCCTTTACAGTCCCTCTCTGAGTGCAGCCCTGGAATGTGGGCCGTGTGGGAGCTCTTCCTCACAGCTTTTGAGCTTCTTCACTAATGAGTTTCAGAAGTTTTATTTCACGTGCTGAATGTGTTTCTTGATACAGTGACTTTGTGCTTCATCTCCCTATGTGGAAAGCTGAACGTTCTGCCCTGTGAGCTTTGGGATAAACTACAACTCGTTTTGAAAGTCCCTTATGCTGCTTCAACCTCATAGGAATACTGCAAGGCTGCAGCACTGGATCACCTAAGTCCTACTATGTAGCAGTCATTGTAGCTTTAATTGCTCCCCACTGTGAGGAGATTGGAATTCACATAATTCTACCTTTTCTTGACAGTATCGGGGCCCAGTGAGCTTTTGTTGGAGGAGGACAGGCGTACATGGATAATTAGGCTTGCTAATGCATTACTCCACTAAATCTTGAGTTACCTGTCTTCTGAAGCAGATTTATCGCAGAAACCATATATAAATGTTGAGGCAGGAGGAAGGCTTAGCAGGAAAGCTTTGCTATTTAGTTGGCTAGATGCCCTGGGGGCATTGCTAAGTGCTGGGTGAGTTGTGAAGGGAGCTGCAGCAGGAAAAGCTTTTTCCTCTCAAAGCTTGCTGCATATATTCCTTCAGCTGCCTTTACAATGTAGGAGCAGTGTTCAGCAACACTTTTCAGAGTTAATGGGAAATATTTCTTTAAGTAGCTAAGTCTGATGTACTGCTAGTTCCTTTTTTTTCTTTTTTTTTTTTTTTTTTTTTTTTTTAATTAAATCCAAATGGATTATTAATAGAAAACAAACTGGAGAAAGAGGGAAAAAACATGGGAAAGTTGGAGCAGATGGAACTGTCCTTCTGCCATAAATGTCCTTTTGGACAATTACAATTACTTTTTCTTCTCTTAGACAATATTAATGAAGATTGATTGTTGGATCTATTAGCAGGCCAGCAGCGAAAGCTAGCCTTAATTTAAAGCAGTACTAAAACCTGGCATGGTGATTTGAGCTCCTACCATTCTAACACAGAATCAATCTGACTGGGGTTTCAGTGGATTCTTTACCTGTTCTGAATTGTGAGGCAAAGAAAACTGCCCAGCCAAATGCAAGGCTTTCTTCAGCAATGAGGACAGGCTGTGCAGAGCAAGAAACTCAGTCCCAAAGGCAAGCAACTCCCAGGCCACAGCCAGCCTGCAAATTATAAGCTGACATTGCTCTTTACTTGCAGAGGGATATGATGGTTACTGCATAATATCTTAATGCTTTGTTGCACAGTACTCAATTTGTTAATGTACATAATCACTACTCTGAGGCTTTCTCACCTATTTTGATTCTAGCTTCTGGACGCAGTTGTCCATCCAGAACTATAGCTGATATTCAAGGGTTGAACTGAGCTGTGTTAATTAGTCTTCTCTCCCTGCCAGCTCTTTCTTGCTACAGTTTCAGAATTTAGACATTGTTTGTTCAGAATTGCTGGCTATGTGATCTCCAAATCCATTTTTAAAAACTTCCACTTGAGCAATTATATCCCAGAAGCAACAAATTAGTCTTGGCTCTGGGGCTAACCTGTGGGATTAAGCCATTGATGCTCTCCTTGTGTGACCAAAGGCCCCCTGCCTTTTAATTTTGTTCTGGAGGAAGCTACAGCCTACTAATGGATGTTTCTGTCTGGCTTGTTGCCATCTGTTACAAATACAAAACCAGGTAATCTTTCTTCTTCCAAAAATACTGTACATTAGTTCCTATAAATCAGGACTTTGTAGGAACGCAGAAGCAGAGCCATTATTTACTTATGTTTTGGTTTCTGTGGAACATATTAATCCTAATTACATTTCTGAGTTTTCACCATACTTACAAGCTAAAACAATGCTGTTCCCTCAGGCTTACTTTTAGATGAAGAACTGTAAATAAAACAAAATCCAAATTACTTTGATGGACATACATCCTGCTGTCCCCTTGGGTGTTGTGTTTGACATTGCCTTTCTTTGCGGTTTAGGATAGGATTTCTGCTGTCACTTAGATATCTTAAGTAAAGAATTAACAGAATATTACAAGTACATGGAAATATGAAGAAGAATGTCTGTCTCCATTCGTAGTTGTAAGAGTCTTGGGATAAGTGCAAGCAAACAAAAAAATATTGTTTTGTTGTTTTTTTAGCATTTTTAGTGACATGTACATATTAACATATAGTGATTTCAGAGTTTTTTACTCCTTGTGTTGGAGGCTCAAGTCTTAAAAAAAAAAATATATCAGTTTTTAAACTTTTCAGAGTTTGTGTGTTAAATTTCATTATATAATATTGTTTTTAATGCACCCATTCCTGAGAAAGTTTAACCAAGAATCTTGCCATCCAGAAGGACCTAGACAAGCTTGATCAGCTGGCCCAGTAGAACCTCATGTGGTTTAACAAATCCCAGTGCAATGTCTTCCATCTGAGTCATGGCAACCCCCACTATCAGTACAAACGGGGGGATAAAAGGATAGAGCACAGCCCTGTCAAAAAGGACTTGGGAGTACTGGTGGATGGCAGCTGGACGTGAGCCAGCACTGTGTTCTCGCCGCCCAGAAAGCCAACCATATCCTGGGCTGCATTAAAAGAAGTGTGGCCAGCAGTGTGAGGGAGTTGATTCTGCCCCTCTGCTCTGTGCTGTGAGACCTCACCTGGAGTGCTGCTTCCATGTGTGGAGTCCTCAGTACAGGAGAGATGTGGACCTGTTGGAGGGAGATGTAGGCACATCCAGAGGAAGGCCACAAAAATGATCCAAGGGATGGAACACCTCCCCTGTGAGGACAGGCTGAGAAATGGGGCTGTGCAGCCTGGAGAAGAAAATACTCCGGGGAGACCTGAGAGCAGCCTTTTAGTATCTGAAGGGGAACTGTAAGAAAGGACAGGCTCCTTAACAGGGTCTGTTGTGATAGGAGAGGGCAAATTATTTAAAATTAAAAGGGAGGAGATTATGCTTGGATAAAAAGAAAATGTTTTTATGATAAGGGTGGTGAAGCACTGGCACAAGGTTGCCTGTAAAGGTGCTGGATGTCCCTGGATGTTCTTAGAGATGTTCAAAGTCAAACTGAATTAGGTTCTGAGCAACCTGATCCAGCTGTAGGTGTCCCTGTTCATTGTGTGGGAGTTGGAAGTAGATGACCTTTAAAAGTCCCTTCCAACTCAAACGATTCATGATTTTATAATCTTGCTTACTTAAGTGTGCTGGATACCTGCAACATCTTTATTAGCTAGAAGGGAAATCAGCAGAAAAGAGTGATTTCAATCTATAAATTCTCCAAAGACTGTTACTTCCAAATGTACAATTGTATACAACGTTGGTAGGTAACAAGCTTGCGTATTTACTGTTTTTTTATAGCTATATGTGAATATACTGTGGATAGTATTACAACTGGAGATGAGGAAAGAAAAAAGCTAATCATGAAATAAGTTCTTGTTTAATAGGCACAGTCTTATCTTTTTTCTCTGGTTTTGAAGATATCTTTTTCAGTTTTTCCAAAACTGAAGGCAGGCAAATATCCTAAGTATATGCCCCCAAGTATAAGTTATGCCCTGTTCTGCGTCTACTGGAAGGTTCTGATGCAGCCTGGGTGGAGTATAGAAGTGTGTGCTGTGTGGAGCTACCAAGATTCAAAGCATGACTGTGGCAGACTGAGGAACAGGACTTATTCCTGACTTCTTACAATTCACGCTTCTTGGACTCTTGAGATATCTGGATTTCTTTTTACAGCATAAGCTCAGATGATCACGGTAGGGAAATGAGTCTGCAAATTCCTTTTTGTGT